AGAACCATGCGTGCTCCAAGAGCGAGCGAACAGTGGGCCGCCGAGCGGGGTCCCAGCAAAGCATGGCTGATAGAATGTCATGAAAGTCGCGGCTAAAACATGGTGGACACAAGGGTTGATGCTGCGCTTGCATTGCCGCCTCCATCAGCGACAAAAATTCCCAAAAATTCTCGTCGGAGTTCCCACTGAATGGATGGCTGCCGTTTACACACTCATGCAGCGCCACACCCAAGGCCCATACGTCGCTGCTTGGGCTGGAAGCCCACTGCCGGTCCCTTAACACCTCAACGGCGGTATAAAGCACCGTGCCGCTAAAGCAGTCCACCGCCGCATTCACGGGCATCGCACTGGATAAATCACCAAGCTTCAGTTCTCCCGTAGCACGCAACAAAATGTTGGAGGGACTTAAGTCACCGTGCACCATGCCAATCCTGTCATGAAGGTCTACCAGGGCATGCAATGTAAGGAAAGCTATGGCCCTCGCTTGGCATTCCATCAGATGACCGCGGCTGCAATGACGGCGCATCACGTCGCTGAGGGAATAGTCCATCAACTCTGTCATCACCAACAGCAGAGTATCGCGGTTCGCGTCGACGCAAATATCGTAATGGTGTAGAATAAACTTCAAATGCAGGCGCTGTATCGGCAACACGTTGCGTACCGTGGCAAGAGGATCCACGCACTCCTCCTCCTTGAGCCCAAGCCAGACGCCCCCCTTTGCCCAATGTACACGGTAGAAACGACTGTGTTTCCCACGGTGCAGCAGCACACGCTCCTCCCAATTGTTATCGCACAGGGCACGCACCGTCGGCGCCTCGGTGCGCTCCGCGTCCTCTTCATCCATCACGTCCCCTCATAAAACTGGACGCACACCGCGCCGCCGTCGCCAGAAAGTAGGAGGAAAACAGAAACAGAAAAAAAGCACGGGGATGGGCAGGTGCGTAATAACCGTAAACCCTCCGCAGAGACCCAGTGAATTAAAAAAAAAAAAGAAATAAAAAACAAGAGAAGGAAAAGATGGAGAAGAAACAACGACAAAATAATTCCACCACCACCGCCAGCATACATATCTATTATATATATGTTCACTGCGGCTGGGTTATTTTTCCCACCCACTCACCCACCCGCAGCCACGCTAAAAAAAAGAAAACTGACAGAAGAATTCAAGGAGGCAGATCTCACCCAGAAGTGCTCCGCACCGTCGTCCCATGTTTTTCTGATTTTTGCACAAATGCAGTGAGTACCTTCTCTGCTTCCAGCGACAAACGAGCTGCTCCACGGGGTCCAAGTATTGCCTCCAAATCCTCCTTCAACAACTCCTTCCTAGTGAAAATTGCATCGGCCAGACGATGCAGCAACTCCTTATTTTCCGCTATTAAAGTCTTTGTATACTGTTGGGCCGTCCCAACCAATCGCGCTGCCTCCTCTTCAGCAACGGCCTGGATCTTCTCCGAGTGCTTCTGGTAAATGCGTCCCTCATCTAACCGTTGTGGTTCAAATGCGAGAAACCCAACATGGTGCGACATGCCAAAGGCCAAAAATACGTGTATCGCCGTCTTGGTGGCACGCTGGTAGTCTTCTTGAGTACCAGTCGTGAGCTCAGCGTGCCGCGTCGCTTCCGCAAGGCGACCCGCAAGCATAACACAAATGTCTGTGAAGAGTGACACATCGGTAGGCATATCAAAGGTCTCCTTGCCAACTTGCTGGGTAAAGCCTGCTGCTGGACCCCTTGGCGTAATTGACACCTCGATAACACCTAAAGAAGCTGTCAACTCCACATCCTTCATTGACATCACATTTGGAGGAGGATGCAGCCGCACCACAATCTCTCGTTCATTGCAATCCACAGACTGAACCTCCCATTGACATGCTTCTTTCTTTGTTATATTCGAATTTGTTTGTTTGGGCTTCTCTTTTATATGATCTGTTTCCTTTGCTGCTGGAACCTGTGTTGCACCGTTAACAAGTTGACGCGTGTCAATCACTTGACATCGGTTTCGAAGACGTTCAGGAAAGTGAAGAAGTGAGTCAGCTGTGGGCCGATTGCATTCACCACTTCCTCCTGCACCGTATAGTCTAACACCATCAAGAAATCCCTTTCGAATCCCAGTAACAACAGGCATCTCCTTAATCAATGGTGAACTTTTTATCTCACTCTGCAGGTGGGGGGCATTTAAACAAAGCTCAGAGGGTAAGGAAATTTCCTCATCTTTACCTTCAACAGGGTCAGTTGTTGTCCTTTTCTCAACTGCTTTCACAATTCTAGAAAGAGTCCAATAAAAATTATCTTTATCATTTAAAAAATATTTTTATTTGGAATTAACCTGCACGAGCGTGGGTTAATTAGCATACCACATTCCTGTAAAATCCACTCAATTGCAAGATTTGTGAGTCTAATGACGTAGTGATCAAATAAAGGGTGACTCCGCACACACCGAACAATCAGTGTTGGATGAACAACAACGTCTATGGTAAATTCACATTTTTCTCCGTCATATTTTTTTTGCAGGGCCAACAGCTATTGGGATAATCAAATTATCTACACCATATTTATCTAAATAGCCTTCTGGAACCACCTCCATATTTTTTGCCAAAGCCATTCCAACTGATGAGTGACCACAAACATTAACCAATACCATAGTCGCATTGTCTGCCAGCAGTGCCTCAAAGCAAAATCCGGCCTCCATACCCGCAACCGAGAAAAACTAACTATAATAATAATAATAATAATAATAATAATAATAATAGGAGCTTGTGAAAAGAATGATAGTGGGGGAGCTGGCTAACTTAATTAATGTATGTATATCCTGATAAATGAATGCATTCTTTATGATACTCTCTACCGTATGAATCTTTTGGGAAGAACGCGACTTTGTAGGGGCAGGGAGCCGATAGAGGCCAGATAATATTTGCTTTTATTTTTTACAGACACAGCCAGGTAAGTTTAAGGAAATGACTTTGGTTCCCTACACACCCTCCGAGTGGTGTGATATTGGCGCCCGTCTCTGGGACATGGTGTGCCAATGTGGCGAGACCCAGGTGCAGATGACGTTCATTAATGGTAACATGATGTCGGACGGGACGTTAACTGTGGCCGCATCAGCGACAGGCTTATGCTTGTTCCATGGGCCTGTATCTAAAGCATGGCAGGATTCTACTATCATTGGACATATTGCGAATCTCCGCGCGCCTCAGATCCCTAATTTTGAGAAACAAGCGCTCCTGCCCGCTATGGGGGCAGCCCGGGAGTTGGGGCACCAACAAGGGCTCATCACTGCTGAAAGGGAGCGCCTGAATTTTGATTGCGCGAACGCCGTCGCGGACGTGCAGAATCGGAATGCTCGGCTTAACTCGCAGTTTCAGAAGGCGCATCACAACCTATCGGTAAGGGAATTCAATATCGCCGGGGCCGGCAACCAGGTCCTAGAACTACGACAGCAGTTGGAGGCCGATCGCGCCCAATTACGGGAGCGCGAATTCAACTTGGGAGTCCTCACTGGTCAACTCCAGGAACGGGAGGCACGCCTTAACGCACTACAAACTGCGCGGGATGCGGAGACGGCGGGGCGGGACGAGTCCCCCGCTACTCGACACGTTTTCAACAATGGCGTAACTACACTACCGCATCAGACGAATATCTTGATGGCTGGAGGCGTGCCTAGCAGTGCGGCCCGACACAGCTCGGCGGCTTACAGACTCCCGCACGGCAATGTTGGGAGACCAAATTTCCACCCTTCCACGCCGTCGCCCTCCCGCACTTCTCCCCTGGACGCCCGATTACCCATGGAAGAGGACCGCAGTTTCTGCGCATTCGACGTCACCACGTGGCCCTCGCGTGTATGGAATGAGGGTGCCTCCGGAGTAGTTTTCGACCTCCGGTGTGCACACCGATGCTGGCAAAAGGACAACGAGCAGGTTAAACTTGCCTTTGACAATTTGGTCGAGTGGATCAGCGCGCTGGAAGGCCTGCAGGATCCCACCGATCGCTTCATGAATTTGGGGAGGTCCCTACTGAATACATTCCGGATGCAGCTCACGACGTCATCCGATCCGGTCATCTGTCTTATCAAATGGCGCGCCCCTCCTTACACTGCTGTTCACCAGTCCGATTCCTATGCCAGGGCAGCCCAGCCTCTCGTCGATCGGCGAGAAACCCAACGCACTTTGCGATGCCAACAATGTCATACCTTTGGACACGATGCGTCTACATGCAGTGTGCGCCCCAGAGGGAATTACTTACAATACAGGCACCCTTCAAAAAACGGCAGAGGGGCTGCCGCACGCTGCTCATTAATGCCGGCGACGGCAGCCCCATCCATTCCACCACCTCCCACCAATCTTCACAGGCAGCGCACCGCACCGCCGATGCTCCACCCGATCTTTCAAATTGCCCGACGAAACCGTCGAGAAGGGCGATGGAGCTTATCCGTAAACGACGCTCGACTGTGGTACAACGAAACACCGACTTCCCCGCTTTGGGCCAGTTATATGAGGAGAGGAAACGAGGTGGCTCGAGTGATGTGCGCGGCGTCAACGTGGGAGCGTGGAATGTCTCTCGCGGGGCACTTTACAACCTTTTGCCGCACGCACGAACAGCCGACGAACGAAAAGAGCTGTGCGGCCTTTTTGATGGCAATCGATGTGGCGCCATCGACCCGACTGCGGTACGCCAGGATGCTGCTGTCCATGTTGGAAATGGATCGAACCCCGCTGGATATGGCGGCTTTGAGGTTACAAAAAATTGCGGTGCGATCGGAGACGAGGCGGACGAAGCAGGCGCGCCCCGTGACAAAGGAAGAGATGAATCAAGTAATTCGCAGCCGGACCGATTGGAAAGAAAGTGTTGTCTTCCGACTTGCGTGTATAACGGCGAGTCGTTTGTTTGAGATTGCGGCATTGACACCCAACAATTTCACACTGGAGCCGGACGGGGCCTTAATTTTGGATAGGTCCGTGGCGCCGAAGACGGCGAGGGCGGATCTCCACCGCACCTTTCGGTTCGCCATGACACGAGGGCAGGACGCCTTCGACAATATAAAGCTATGCAGGACACCTCAAGAAAACGGAAGGCTTACGAATCTTACTAATGCCAAGGTCGAACAAACTTTGGCTCCTTGGATGCCACGGCGCATTCCACAAAACGCGGTGCGTTGAGGCACGCTGCTCCAATCGTGGAGACATACAATTTGGATCCACACGTGATCTCGCAGTTGGCGAAGCACGTCAATCCGTTCGACCTTCCCAGAATACTGTTTGATATTTGTGGATGTACACCACACTGCTGACCCAGGTGTCGTCGCTGGTCGCATTGATGTGAAGAGAGGAACGGCGGAAGGGCCGGAACCCTGGCTGAGAGCAGAGGAGCGTTTTTTCCGTGATTTTAATCACAATCATGCTGCTGCAATGACGAGACGCGCGACAAGGACGCGTCTGGCCACTCCACAAGACGAACACGGTATCCCGCTACGGCAGGCCAACGTGCCCGTATTGAATCTTGAGTGGATTAAGAGCCGGTTGAAACCGGCTACCTTGGAGAGACTCATGCAAGTTTGGGGACTCGTCGGGCGGGCCCCTCTCCCTCCGTCTTCCTCCGGTAAAGCGCGCAAAGGCTCACGGAGGATTCCAACCGCTGACGCGAGATGGTTACGAAAAGCAGGAATAATCGAGGACGCTTCGTCCACAATAACAAGCGGATGGATAATACCTTTCTCGGTTGTGGAGGAGAAAACCGCCGGTTTACGACGACGATGGATCGCGTGGCCACGCGACAAGAACAGAGACGACCCTTACGAGGCGAATGTTCCTCTTTTACACATTTCCCATTATTTGCCGCCTGTGATGGCTGAGGCCGCTTCCTGCCTGGATTTAAAGGCATCCTTTTTTCAAGTTCCTTTACCGCGGGAGGCTCGGCATCTCTTTCGATGCCGCGTGGAGGACGGCACGCTGGTGGAGCTCACACGGCTCCCTATGGGACACAAGGCCGGCCCAGAAATTCTCCAGATTATTATTACCTCGGCAATCGCCGGGCTGACGACGGTGGTTCACCTCCTCCGGGCCGCACCTCCATTGGTGCGTGTCGAAGTATGGATTGATAATATACGCATTGCAGGGCCGAAAAGCGATGCGACATTGTGGGAAGCCCAGGTGCTTCGTAATGCGGACAGTTGTCACGCATCCATGGGGGAAGAACGAGAATCGGGTGCTGCGCAGTACACCTTCCTGGGGGTGCAGTTTGATCACACTCACCGGGCGGTGTCCCTGAGTGACAAGTTTGTCCGCTCTGTACGCGCCATGCCGGCGCTCAATTCTTTAACCATCGCGGAAATGGAGGTTGTGGCGTCACGCTTTTTATATTTGGCTGCCATTTTGGGCACGCGTTTATGCCAATACTACTTTTTTATCAAGGCAGTGCGACGACGATTATCGGCAGTTAACCGGGGAATTGTGCTGGAGAAATCCCCGGCGAACGTTCCGCCGGCAGCGGTTGGCTTGGGCGAGAGATTGCGACACACCATCGAAAATACAACCGTAAGCGAATCATCAAGCCCACGGAAAAGGCATCGGCTGCCATCATCACGGACGCATCGCTCCATGGATGGGGAGCAGTTTTTATTCCAGACTTCGGCGACGTTAAAATTGCCGGGGGAAATGGAAGAGGAAGCCTTTTCTTACCATGCAGGCCGAGGCACGAGCGGTACGCCTAGCCTTATCGGCCTTTTCCGCCATCTTGCCATCCACCATGGACGTTTGGGTGGACAACACTTCGCCGCAAGGAGCCGCGAATAAAGGCAGCTCAAAATCGCACGCGTTGACGTGGGAGCTGCGACGGATATGTTTGTTGACTCTCGCGGAGTGCGGGCAACTTTCGCGTACGCACAGTCTTCGGAAAACCCCGCAGACGGCATATCACGCGGTCGTGTTTTTACACTTCAGGACTTGGCTAAAGGGGTGGAACTTGCGAATGGGATCGGCGGGGTCTTGTGGTTGGAGGATCCCAAAGTCCGCGAATCGTAAGTAATAATACGTAAATCCCAACTGAGGACAAAGAACCATGCTAATGGTCCAGAGAATTCTATATAATGAATGAAAATAAAACATTCAAACAATTAACTAACGAACATTTTTTCCTAACTTGTTTGTTTTCCATAGATAATTCAGGATCCGGCCAGCTGCCCGGAAGATTATTCAGGACAAAAAGAAGAATCGCGTTTTCTTTAATGTTTTTCCTGTTTGGGGGCGGGGATCTTTGTTTTCTATGATTGCCTCTTTTTTTTTGTCTGTTCCAGGTTGGTTTTTAGGAGGATTGATGTGCCTGCTGGGTGATCGCCGGCTTTTTTATTGGTGATTGCGTATTTTTGGCTTACCGGTGTGCCGCTCAGCGCCATTTTGTTTTACTTCTTTTCTGCTTATTGGGGCGTGTTGTTATTCGTCACGCGTCAGCACACACCGAGCAACATGTCAAAAAAAAACAAAATGCAGGCTTTTTCCCCCCTCGCGAGGGCCTCCGCAGCCACAATCCTGTGCGTGCGTGCATTCTCAGCGTTTTAAACACGGCATGTGTGTGTGCATGTGCTTGTGTGTTTGGCAGCGCCTATACTTGCAGAGCAGCTGTGCGCCACAAGAGAGTCTGAAGAAAGCAACGGCAGAGAGAGGCAGATAGCACACACGCAAATTACTCATATCATCGCACACACACACACACACACGCAGCCGCGGAATGGGTGCACTCAACCACAAAATCAAAAAGGAAAACAAAACAAAAAGCCGAAGCGTGGGACGACCAGCGCACACACACTCTCATTACTCCCGTAAAGCAAAACAAACACACAGGGAGAGAGAGAGAGGTCGCCCACTCAATGCAATAAAAACAAAACAGAAACAGTTACGGTGCTCCGCCCATGCAGCCAGGCAGGACGGCAGCGGTGCGTGTCGTGCAAAAGAGAGCACCAACGGGCCTGCATGGGTGTGCATGCATATATACAATGGGCACATTATTGTGTGTGCCTCGTGGGGTGAGGTGAGGGCGAGAGTCCATGCAAGGGGACACACACACACAGAGAGAGAAGGAAGAGTGTGTGTGCGGGCGGTGCATGGCTCTCTCACACTCACTCTCACGCGACCACCACCGCAGCCGCACACGCAACAACAAGAAGAAGCAAAAGAGGGGAGGTGGTGTGGGAGACGGCAGTGCTGCTGTCGCTGTCGTCCTTAACTGCGGTTGCATTTGTACCATTAGCAGTTTTGTCTTTCGCGTATTCTTCGCCTTTTCTTGCGGAATGATCACGCTGTTGGTGTCGCTGCTTCTCATGCTGTTCTTTTTCTCGATTTTCCGGTTCTTCTTCTTTTAGAAGCTCTTTTTTTTGTCCAGAATGGTGTTCGACTGAATTATCCTGATCATTTATTGTTGTTTTTACTTCCTCTTCTCCGACTGTTGTAACTGGCAGTGATTCTGCTTCTGCTGCTTTTTTTGCTTTTGTGGCTGTTTCAGCTGCTGCTCCCTTTGCGTCGGCTGTTGCTCCTGATGTTCTTTTTTCCTGGCTTTCCTGCAATCTCGCAACTGGAATAAATACTTCTCTCAGAATGTTGTCGTCCCCACCAGAAACCACACCAACAGCTCCATCGGCCGCACCGCACCACAGCACGCAGAGGGCACACACCAGCAGCACACGGCCAGTCATCATCATCGCCATCACTCCTGTCACTTGCGTGCCGCCCTCAGCACAAACTAACTCCCGTCAACGCAGAGCAAAAAGAGCACAGAGACAAGACACACAGCCACGCACACTTTTCCATCCATGAATGAGAGTCACGCACAGTAAAAAATAACAGCGACACACACAAAAAAGAGACAGATGGGATCTGTACAATCGCAAATCTCAAACGCCACCCCACAAACCAGAAGTTCTAAAAAGCAAAAGCGAAAATAAAAAAACAACACACACAAGGCTCCACCGCATGCACATACGGCGAGAGCGGTCCGTCGTGTCGGCACCCCTCACGGAGGGCGCGCACACACACAAGAGGAGATGCAGCGCACACAGCAACAAAAAGCAAAGCAACAAAAAAAAAGAAGAGATCCCCGCACACCACGCGAATTGTTGGTCCACGGGAAGTAAAGCCAATATTCATTTTTTTTCCCCCTACTCTAGTCAGCGCGTCTCGCTATACAATGCCATCTAGGTGCTGAGGAGGTGGTCGAGCAACGACAAAAGTTTCCTGCTATGAAGCAACTGCCATTGAGAGGATTTTCCGAGGCGAAGGTCCTGTTCAATGCCCAGCCGTTGACGCACAGCCAAGGTGCCTGGACATTCTAGAAGCAGATGGTGCAAGGTTTCCTGCGGGCCGATTGGCGTGCTTGTGGAAGCTGGCTGATCCTGCGGCAGCAGAGATCGCCTCCTGGCACTGCTGTTTCGATGCCGTGTGGCGTCTGGGTTGTGTGCGCAGCGACTTCTGTGCTGTGCGGTGCTTCTCCGTGTGGGGAAAACCATGTCACAGAAATCACATTTGAGCTCGGGAAGCGGTGGAGGATGTTCCGGATGAAATGACCGACAGTGACTGACGAGACCCGAGAATCCCGTCAATGTAGAATCACAGTGCGGACATTTCTCCTTCCGACGGCGTGTGAGGGTCCGTCTCCTTACTGGAGAGACGTCTTCCTCCCTCGCCGACGGGGGAACAGTGTCCGTCCCCGGTGCAGTTGGATCGTTGTTAGAGCGCACATATGCAGACTGTTCCGGTGAGACGTTGCAGAATCGGCATTGGTTTGTGCAATCTCTCACGGCCCAGTATAGTCGACCCCAGAGCTCGGATTCCCCGCACCTTGCCCTTGCGAGGTGAACCAGTTCCTGACGGTGTAGAACTTCCTGAGTGATCAGGTCCTTACCGCTGAGATCTGATGGCCTTGTGCCGCAAAGCAAGTAGCGATGAGTGTCTTGACGAATGGTACTACGCCACTTGTTGGTGAGCTGGGTAGTAAAACATGTCAGCAGATCCGTATGCCATAAAGGTGCGATTCCTTGCTCCGTGTATTGTCCGCTTTCCATAGTCTGCGTCGCATGCTGATCTGCAAGCTCGTTAGCATGTACTCCGCAATGTCCGTAACAAAACTGCAGGTGCACGGACCAGCCAGCACACGCCAGTGTCAGGAGACGCTGCCAGATCTGATCCTCCGTCCAGTCTGTCTGACTGAGCGGGCCCTTGTTTAGAGCCGCTAGAAGAGACTGACTGTCCGTAACCACAAGCAGGTTTTTACGCCTGTGGCGGATACGAGGAATCATCAGCTTCTCTAGGGCTAGAAGCAGCGCACGGGATTCCGTCCTGTAGCTGCATGGGCGTGCACCGCAGTTTATGCTGGCCTTTTCTATTATCTCCGATGAGTTGAGGGATGAAAGCAGTATTCCAACCCCTGCTGACTTGGGAACGTCGACACCGCCATCGGTCGCAAGTATCCACGAACGATGGCTGTGCAGCGCCAGAGCCTCCTCGCTGACTCTGCGCTTTTCCCTTATCAGCTCTTCCTCGTCAGTTATTGGGAGGTCTATCGGAAGTTCCACACCGATGGTGACCCGGTGAGCGGAGGCCGCAAACCAGGGAGGAATGGAGCTGCGAAAGAACCGCTCTTCGCGTGGTGAGCTCTCGGTGATGCCATAGTCCTTTGTGTATGCGTCTACGAAGGCATATAGCTCGTCCCGAGATAATGGCGAGATGCGGAAACCGGCGCGAGGTGGTGGCTCAGGCGGGGGTCTCCGCATCCAGTCCATCTGACATGCGCGTGTTTTCTCAAATATTGAGAGCCGCGCGCGCAGGCAAAGGACGTGGAGCGGCGGCATATTAGCCTCCAGCAGTGCGGATTCCGGGTCAACAGTGCTCGGAACTCCGCTGACAATGCGTGCTAGGGTTGCGTACGTCTTCTGCATCTCATTCTTCGCTGAATCCGTCGCTACTGCCCATATGAGCTCGCTGCCATAGCGTAATTTGGAAGCACCGTATCCAATGACGAACGTGCGTAGGTCATGTGGAGATGGTCCCGCCTCTTTGTGCGCTATGCAGCGTAGCTGCGATATCCGTTGCGAAGTGGCAGCGCATTGCTTGTTGGCCGCCACATTTAGCGTCAGTCGTGGATCGAGATCCATGCCGAGAAGCTTCGTAGTTCGCGATGCCCCCATGGTCATGACTGGGATTTGACATCCAGCCACTACCAGGGGCCACCTTCCTTCACGATCATAATCTGACTCCGTGTGCGTGGATAGTGTGCACCAAGCAGCTTCACACTTTGACGGGTTGATGGCCAGGCCACTTTCCTGACTCCACGCATGCGGCTTTTGAAGAACCATGTTGGCAGTGGGAATGGCGTCTTCCCGGGACTGCCCCTTGACGATAATAGAGAGGTCGTCCGCATACATGTCTGCTGTGACACCCGCAAAGCTGTTCAGCAGATTGAGAAGTGGGTGTACGTAAAGGGAGAACAAATACGGTCCCAGCACGGACCCCTGAGGAACTCCTCGCAGCATGGGACGCCGATCGCTGTGTCTGTGGCCAACTCGTGTCTTCGCGTAGCGCCCACATAGAAAGTTTCTAAGCCACCTACAATTCACCCCCGGAATATTAGCCAGCAAGCGACTGAGGACTCGATGATCTATGGAGTCAAAAGCCTTGCTGAAATCAACCAGCACCAGCAGGGTCCGATGGGGTCTGTAGTGGAGTTGATTGCCAATACCGCTCTTCTTGGGAAGGCTCACTTGGAAATAGTGATTTCTATTATGCTCCACTTCGTGTATCAGGTGTGCCAGCTGCATCGTCGTAGTACGCATACTACGATATGCATACTGGTGGGGGTGCGGCGTCCACACCCAAAGCAATCTCTTCAGTACCATTTTCTCAGCAACCTTACTCACAATGGAAGTAAGGCTGATGGGTCGATATGACTCAAGCAGTTCCGGCGACTTACCGGGTTTTAAGAGTGGAACGATGGTAGCGCGTCTCCACTCAACCGGAATCGTACCGGTCGTCCAACTGTGGTTAATGCAACGAAGAAGGAATCGGAGGCCCTTTGACGAAATATGTCGCAGTGCCTCACTGTAGACTTCATCCGGTCCGGGGGCCTTGCCATACGGCGTATTACGTAGCGCAGCAAGCAGTTCCGTACGATTAAAAGGTGCATCAAGAGGGGAGTGAAGATGAGCAACTAAACCAGATTTGGTGGCAGCTTCGTTTTTATCCTGTGGCTCAGAACTAGGTGAGAGTGAAGAACCTGAATTAAATGTAGCGGCAGACTCGCTGTTGTTCTGCTGCCCAAAAAGAAAAGAAGCATTAATGTTCAAAGAGGCACTCTGTCTGTTGATGCCTTTGGAAAACCTAACTGCCTTGTGAGAGGGGTGAAATGGAAGAAAGATGCGATTGAGAGCATTCGCTGCTCTCCTTGCTGTTTTATAAGTGTGTTGACCATCTCCCAATAAAATTGATGTGGGAGATGGAAGTGATGCCTTTTTTCGTCCGGAAATGTATTTCCATGCGAGTGGCTCGCCTGGATCTAACTTGCTGATGCGGCGTAGATACGTGTTGCGCAAGCGCTCGCGGAGTAGGAGGAAGAATTGACTCCTTGTCCGTTGCATTTCTGCCTCACGGTCGGGCGTCGGTAACTGTAGATAGTGGGCCTTGCTGTCGGTAGCCATCCGCTCTGCCTCCATGAGAGTGTCGTCCCAAAGCCTGGGACCGTCCTTGTGCATGCCGCGGGGGCAATGTCGTCGATACGAAGTTATAAGCGCTCTCGTGAAAGCTTTAATGCCGGTGGACTGCTTTTTATAGTCATATGCCGGAAGTTGTGCGTCGAAGTCCTTGATGAATAAATCCCACTTGCACTTCCCCCAACTGTGGAATATCCTAGGTGCCGAAGGTATGGTATCCTTAAATGCCTGATGCAGCGTAAATGTCAGCATATAATGATCACTAAGCGGCGACACGGAAGCTGACCAATCCGACACAGTCAAATGCTTTGACCATGTCAGATCGATACAGGATCGTTCTCTTGTGCCACGGGCATACGTGATCTCACCAGGGGTGTTAACCAAGGTGAGTCCCGCATCCGTGCACAGTTCTAAAAATTCTGCAGCAACCTCGCTTGGAGAAGTCTCCAAGAATGGCTCCCACTGTGGGTGATGCATGTTGAAATCCCCACACAGCAGGAGCGGCGACGAGGCTGGAAGGCAGTTTACTAACCGCCTGAAGGATTGCGTTACTTGCGGTGGTGGCCTCATGTAGGCACTCGCTACAATAATATCACGGTTCTGGTCCAGAGCAGCCTGGACCGCCACCACTTCAAGGCTGGTGTCATGCTGGGGGATGGTGAGAGGTATACGCTTGGAGCGGAGAGTTTTCCGCACCAGCACCGCCACACCGCCTCCCTTGCCGATGCGCGACTGTGCATAGAGCACATAATCTCCAGTGTGCATGCTGGCGATCTGCTCTGACGACTTCCAAGTCTCCTGAATGGCCATTATGTCTGCTCCTTGCGCCATTAATGTTGCGAGTTTTGACGGCGTGAGGCAAGAAACGTTCATCTGGAGTACTGCTATGGGGCCTGGGTTCTGCTCAATGTCTCCGCTTAGCAGTAGCTTTTGTCGTTGCGCGTCGCATACGGCACGCAAACGGTATGTATAGCGCTGATAAGCGCCGATGGAATTCAGCAGCGGAT